GGGGGGGTGGTAATGTTGTCTTGAAGACAGGTTGGTTACTTTGAGAATCTGCCAGCTGGACTATGCTGTATATCTGTATCGGCCTATCTGTGTGTCTGTTCGCCTGTCTGTCCGTCTGTGTGACTAGCCATCTGTCTGTGATGTAGCTATCCTGCATGCAAGTATTTCTCTGGCACTGTCACAGTCACATCAGTTGCGCCAAGTACTGCACCGTTAGGTTGTTTTTTCCCCAAAGTCCTAGGTCATGTGATTTTGTTTGTGTGTACATTCATGTGTTGTTGACATAAGGTAAGTCTGTACAAGTGGTAAAGGGCCCCCTCGGTGGGGTCTTCTAGTTAAACTGCGTGTCTCTTCTGTTCAGTATCTCTGCCGTCTTGATGTGATCTGTGAGAACTGTTCTATGAGATGAGAAATGTTCTGTGAGAAATGTTCTGTGAGAAATGTTCTAGTCTATGGTCCTGGTATGTTCTATTTGAAATGAGTCTGTTATCCCGCTGCTTTCCGTCAAATTTCAGCCCAATAACAAGAAGAGTAGCAACAATAATAGAAACAAAAATAACGACGACGACGACAATAGTAGTACATGTAACACCAACAACACTGTCATCATTAAAAACATCCTCAACAATCACAACTTCATAATGAGTTTTAAAAAACACCAATTTTAAAACAACAACAACAGCATTATCATCATCATCAACAACAACAACAACAACAATAGCAATAACATCAACAATGGTAACTCCAGCCTTAGTAAATAACAACGACATTAACAGCAGTAGCACTGCATCAATAACAATATCAACAACGACATCTTCATAAGTAAACAACAACTGCAACAAAACAATAATAATAACAACAACAATATTGACAATGACAATTGTGTGTCTATGAGCACGTTTTTAGTACAGTGAGATAATAATTATATCTTAACATCTGTGTGTGACGTCACGACGACCTCTGCTCCACTCACGTGTCCGGGTTAGCTGTCGTCTGCACACAGAGCAGACGCGACCTTGTTCTCAGAACTGATGACGTCACCGTTATCTCGTGCTGCGTCCTCAAGTCTCCACCTGTGTCCCTACCTCTTCGACTTGTGTGTGTGTGTGTGTGTGTGTGTGTGTGTGTGTGTGTGTGTGTGTGTGTGTGTGTG